AAAAAGGAAGCAAGGGAAAGGAAGGAAGGGAAAAAGGGAAGGAAGGGAAAGGAAGAAAAAAGGAAAGGTAGGAAAGAAGAAAGAAAGGAAAGAAAAGGAAGGGAAAGAAAGAAAGAGGAGGAGAAGGGAAGGAAGGGAAAGGAAAGGGAGGAAGGGAAAGGAAGGAAGACTTACATTTTGCCTGATGTTCATCTATTTCCTGTTTAGTTTTCTTGATACAGCTGAAGATTTCTACTGTATATACACACATACATACACACCTACATGTATGTACGTGTATATGTATGTATGTATGTGTGTGTGTGTATATATATATATAATATCCACATTATTGAAATTATACACATTTCTTTTACGTTCTTAGGAATATTATCCTGTCAATTATCTCCAGTCTTTTGGGTTTTAGAAGGCAGAATGTATTCCTATATTATGTATTTATATTCTTTTTGGTCCCCCAATCCCAGGCCACTGACCTCGGTGGAGCCGGTGAAGGCCACTTTGTCGATCCCCAAGTGGGAGGCAATGGCCGCTCCGGCGGTGGGTCCGAACCCGGGAAGGATGTTGACCACGCCCGGAGGGAAGCCGGCCTGCGGAAACAGGTGGACATAGAACCCATTAGGAAACGATGTTTCTATCCCAGGAAAAAAAAGTCATGGCGATACAGAGTATGATTGTTGTAATTATTCTCATTGGGTAGAAGCGGAATGGTCATCTGCAGGGAGGGTTGTGCCTTCCGGCTCGGCAGAAGGAGGTCAGACTAGATGGCCCTTGGGGGACTCTTCCAAGCCTATAATTCTATTATTATTATTATTATTATTATTATTATTATTATTATTATTAAGCAGGGACTGCATGCTCATCTGTCAGGAGGGCTTTGATTGTGCCTTCCTGCCTGGCAGAAGGGGGTCAGACTGGATGGCCCTTGGGGGACTCTTCCAAGCCTATAATTCTATTATTATTATTATTATTATTATTAAGCAGGGGCTGCATGTCTATCTGTCAGGAGGGCTTTGATTGTGCCTTCCTGCCTGGCAGAAGGGGGTTGGACTGGATGGCCTTTGGGGTCTCTTCTAAGTATAGGAGTCTATTATTATTATTATTATTATTATTATTATTATTATTATTATTATCATTATTAAGCAGAGGCTGGATGGACCTTGATTGCACCTTCCTGCCCAGCAGAAGGGGGTCAGATTGGATGGCCTCGGGGGTCGCTTGCAAGTCTAGGATTCAATGATGCTGACGATGCAGGATTCTGTTATTATTATTATCATCATTATAAGCAGAGGCTGGATGGCCATCTGCAGGAAGGGCTTTGATTGTGGTTTCCTTCCTAGCAGAAGGGGTGTGAATTGCCTTCACCTGGCAGGAAGGGCTCAGAATGGATGGCACTTGGTGTCTCTTCCAAGTCTAGGATTCTACGATGATGCAGGATTCTATTACTATTACTATTATTATTATTATTATTATTATTATTATTAGCTGTACCCACCACACTGTGGCCAACCTTCCCTCTTTCTCTCCTTCTTTCCCTCCTTCCTTCACTCCCTCTTCCCTTCCTGCTTTCCCGTCTTTCCTTCTCTTCCTCCTTCCTTCTCTATCTCTTTCCTTCCCCCTTTTCTTTCTCTTCTGCTGTCTCTTTCCTTCCCTCTCTCTTTCCTTTCCTCCCTCTTTCTCTACATCTTCCCCCCGTTCCTTCCTTCGCTCCCTCTTTCCTTCCTTCTTTTCCTTTTTTCTTTCTTTCTCTCCTTCCTTCCTTCTTTCTCCTTCCCCTTTTCTTCCTTCCCTTTCTTCTTTCTTCTCTCTCTTCCTTCTTCCTTCCTTTCCTTCCCTCCTCTTTCTCTACATCTTCCCCCCTTCCTTCACTCCCTTTCCTTCCTTCTTCCTTTTTCTTTCTTCTCTCCTTCCTTCCTTCTCTAACTTTCCTTCCTTCCCCTTTTTCTTTTCCTCCCTTTCTTCCTTTCTCTTTCTCCTCTTTCCTTCCTTCTCTCTTTCCCTTCTTTCCTTCCTTCTTTCTCTACATCTTCCCCCCTTCCTTCACTCTTCCTCTTTTCCTTTTTTCTTTCCTTCCCTCCTTCCTTCCCTCTCCTTTCCTTCCTTCCCCTTTCTTTCCTCCTCTTTTCTCTCCTTTCTTCCTTCCTCCTTTCCTTCCTTCCTTCCTCCCTCCCTCCCTCCCTCCCTCTTTCTCTACATCTTCCCCCCTCCTTCGCTCCCTCTTTCCTTCCTTCTTTCCCTTTTTTCTTTCCTTCTCTCCTTCCTTCCTTCTCTAACTTTCTTCCTTCCCCCTTTTTCTTTCCCTCCCTCTTTCTCTCCTTTCTTCCTTCTCTATCTCTTTCCTTCTTCTTCTCTTCCTTCTCCCTTTCCTTCTCTCTCTTTCCTTCTTCTTTTCCTTTTTCTTTCTTTCTCTGCTTCCTTCCCCTTTTTTCTTTCCCTCCCTCTTTCTCTCCTTTCTTCCTTCTCTACCTCCTTCCTTCCTTCCTTCCTTCCCTCCCTCCCTCCCTCCCTCTTTCTCTAAATCTTCCCCCCTTCCTTCACTCCCTCTTTCCTTCCTTCTTTTCCTTTTTTCTTTCTTTCTGTCCTTTCTTCCTTCTCTAACTTTCCTTCCTTCCCCATTTTTCTTTCCCTTCTCTACCTCCTTCCTTCCTTCTCTCTTTCCTTCTTTCCTTCCCTCCCTCTTTCTCTAAATCTTCCCCCTTCCTTCGCTTCCTCTTTCCTTCCTTCTTTCTTTTTTCTTTCCTTTTCCTTCCTTCCTTCTCTACTTCTTCCTTCCTTCCTTCCTTTCTCTTTCTTCCTTCTTCTTCTCTCTTTCCTTCTTTCTTCCTCCTCCCTCCTTCCTCTTTCTTCCCCCTTCCTTCCTTCTCCCTTTTCCTTTTTTCTTCCTTCTTCCTTCCTTCCTTCTCTCCCTTCTTCCCTCCCTTTCCTCCTCTTTTCTCCCTTCCTTCCTTCTCTACCTTCCTTCCTTCCTTCCTTCCTTCCTCCTTCTCTCTTTTTCCTTCTCTCCTTCTCCTTCTTTCTTTCCCTCCCTCTTCTTTTCTTTTCTTCCTTCCTTCTCTCCCTTCCCTCCCTCTTCTTTTTTCTGTATTGTCATTTAGCTTTTCGTCATTTAGCTTTTTGGGGCTTTCTAAGTCTCTTCTGCTGTGTTTTTCAGTGTTTTTATGAGTGAAGGACATACATTGGGTTGTTGTCTTGTGTCCAAATTTGGTGTCAATTCCCCCAGTGGTTTTTGAGTTCTGTTAATCCCACAAAGGAACATTACATTTTTATTTATATAGATTATTATTAAGCAGAGGCCATCTGCAGGGAGGGCTTTAATTGTGCCTTCCTGCGGGTGGAAGTGGGCCAGGCTGGATGGCCCTTGGGGGTCCCCCTGTGCTCCATGTTCTCACGATGCTGGGGGGGGGGGGTTCCTGTGGGGGGTGGGCTCCTGCGTACCTCCTTGATGAGGGCGCCCATGTGGAGGGCGCTGAGGGGGGTCTGCTCGGCCGGCTTGAGGACCACCGTGTTCCCGCAGCAAAGGGCCGGCGCAATCTTCCAGGCGAACATCAGCAGAGGGAAGTTCCACTGCAGAGAGAGAAAGAGAGGAAGAGGAAGAGGAGGAGGAAGTAGGGCATGGTGTCTCTCTCCCAATGGGAAGCAATGGGAAGCAACCTGGAGCGCAACTCACAGGGATGATCTGTCCGCAGACGCCGATGGGCTCCTGGCGCGTGAAAGTGAAGAAGTCTCCGTCTGGAAGAGAGGAGGGTCCCGTTATAGCAGGGTTTCTCAACCTGGGGGTCGGGACCCCTGAGGGGGTCTTGAGGGGGTGTCAGAGGGGTCGCCAGAGACCATCAGAAAACAGTATTTTCTTTTGGTCATGAGGGTCCTGTGTGGAAAGTTTGGCCCAATTCTATCGTTGGTGGGGTTCAGAATGCTCTTTGATTGTAGGTGAACTATAAATCCCAGCAACTACAACTCCCAAATGTCAAGGTCTATTTCCCCCAAACTCCATCTGTGTTCATATTTGGGCGTATTGAGTGCTTGTGCCAAGTTTGGTCCAGATCCATCATTGTTTGAGTCCACAGTGCTCTCTGGATGTAGGTGAACTACAACTCCCAAAACTCAAGGTCAATGCCCACTAAACCCTTCCAGTATTTTCTCTTGGTCATGGGAGTTCTGTGTGCCAAGTTTGATTCAATTCCATCATTGGTGGGTTCAGAATGCTCTTTGATTGTAGGTGAACTATAAATCCCAGTAACTACAACTCCCAAATGCCAAGGTCTATTTTCCCCAAACTCCACCAGTGTTCACATTTGGGCATATTGAGTATCTGTGCCAAGTTTGGTCCAGATCCATCATTGTTTGAGCCCACAGTGCTCTCTGGATGGAGGTGAACTACAACTCCAAAACTCAAGGTCAATACCCACCAAACCCTTCCAGTATTTTCTGTTTGTCATGGGAGATCTGTGTGCCAAGTTTGGTCCAATTCAATCGTTGGTAGAGTTCAGAATGCCCTTTGAATGTAGGTGAACTATAAATCCCAGTAACTACAACTCCCAAATGCCAAGGTCTATTTTCCCCAAACTCCACCAGTGTTCACATTGGGCATATTGAGTATCTGTGCCAAGTTTGGTCCAGATCCATCATTGTTTGAGTCCACAGTGCTCTCTGGATGTAGGTGAACTACAACTCCAAAACTCAAGGTCAATACCCACCAAACCCTTCCAGTATTTTCTGTTTGTCATGGGAGATCTGTGTGCCAAGTTTGGTCCAATTCAATCGTTGGTAGAGTTCAGAATGCCCTTTGAATGTAGGTGAACTATAAATCCCAGTAACTACAACTCCCAAATGCCAAGGTCTATTTTCCCCAAACTCCACCAGTGTTCACATTTGGGCATATTGAGTATCTGTGCCAAGTTTGGTCCAGATCCATCATTGTTTGAGTCCACAGTGCTCTCTGGATGCAGGTGAGCTACAACTCCCAAACTCAAGGTCAATACCCACCAAATCCTTCCAGTATTTTCTGTGTCCCATGTTTGGTTCAATTCCATTGTTGATGGGGTTCGGAATGCTCTGTGATTGTAGGTGAACTATAAATCCCAGCAACTACAACTTCCAAATGACAAAATGAATCCTCCTATCCCAACCCCACCAGTATTCAAATTGGGGCATATCGTGTATTTGTGCCAAATGTGGTCCAGTGAATGAGAATACATCCTGCATATCAGATATTGACATTTAAGATTCATAACAGGAGAAAAATTACAATTACGAAATAGCAACAAAAATAATGTGATGGTTGGGGGTCACCACAACATGAGGAACCATATTAAGGGGTCGCGGCATTAGGAGGGTTGAGAACCACTGCAATAGGAAGTTGCCTTGGGCCTCTGCTATGTAGCCAAGCAGGCCAAAGAGGAAGCAGCGTTGACCATGATCTCAAATTGGGGTCAACTGTGCAAGGCTCCAGGACTCTCGGTCGCAGAAGATGCCGTTCAGCACCTTGGAGAAGGACAGCAAAGCAGGCCAAAATAAGACCCAAAGCGGAGACACTGCCGCACTGGATTGAGCTTGGGAAAAGCTCCTTCCTTCTATCTACGGCCCCTTCTGCGCTTCCCAATATCCCAGGATCGGGTCCCAGATTATCTGCTTTGAAATGAAACATAGAATCATACTCATAGATTCAATGGCCTGTTGAACAGGAAGGAGGAAACCATGAAAATGAACAAAACCTGGCTACCAGTATTAAAAAGCTCAAAAATTACAACAGCAAAACAACAGAGAGGAAACAAACAAGGACATCTAATCACCTCTCAACAAAAGATTGCCCCAGGCACTGTCAGGCCATTATATGCTAATCAAGGTGGTCAGTTGAAACATTCCCACCTAGCTCCAACATACAAGAGTCCTTTGTCCCACCCTGGTCATTCCACAGATATATAAACCCTTTTTCCTAGTTCCAACAGACCTCACTCCCTCTGGGGATGCTTGCTATAGATGCAGGCGAAACGTCAGGAGAAAATGCCTCTAGACCATGGCCATATAGCCCGAAAAAACCTACAACAAGGACATCTAATCACCTCTCAACAAAAGATTGCTCCAGGCACTGCCAGGCCATCAAATGCTAATCAAGGTTGTCAGTTGAAACATTCACACCTAGCTCAAGCAGACAAGAGTCCTTTGTCCCACCCTGGACATTATTCCACAGATATATAAACCCTTTTTCCTACTTGAAACAGACCTCACTACCTCTGAGGATGCTTGCCATAGATGCAGGTGAAACGTCAGGAGAGAATGCCTCTAGAACACGGCCATACAGCCCGAAAAAACCTACAACAACCCAGTGATTCCGGCCATGAAAGCCTTTGACAATACAGAGGAGAAACAATCAGGCACATCTAATCACCTCTCAAC